AATGGAGGATAAAAATCTATGAGATTTATACTTGGGCTGAAACTGAGCTGATAAAGCCCAATGCCACCTTGCTTGGAGTTCTTGAAGCTGTTGTAGCCCGATTTATGGGAATACTAAAGCAATGGTGGAATGCTCTTGGCCCATATCGCCAACAACAGGTTGTTGATATCCAACATTTGGAACAGTTCATTGGATTTCTCTTGAAAGAATTTGTTGGAGAAACCCAAAACCGTGTTGACCAACTTCGTGATGAATTCTTCAAGCTCAAGTGCTGCTCTTTTGATCCTAAGGATCTGCAACTTCACTTTAAAAGAGCATCTCTTCGCTTTTATGAAATTGGTGGTCTGGATGACCCCAATCTCAAACAGGCCTATTTAAGTTCTATTCCTGATTCTCTCTCTCAAGAGACTCAACGGATCCTTGAACAAAATGGGCTTACACTTGCTTCGGTTACTTTTGGTCATCTTGGCCAACTTATTGACAAAGCCCTTCAAGGCCTCTGCAACAAATGGAATTTTATCAATCAATTCCATCAGACTGGTCAACGCATTGAGAAATCATGCCAACGTCCTGATCTTCTTCTCAAGTGTTCTCACAAGGACACTTCCTGCCATTGTCCAACAAAAAAGAAGAAGCACTTCCGTCGCTATAAGCAGAATAAGCAGAATATTTGGGTACCGAAAGATAAGAAACCCTTCCGCAAGAGAGGATCCAAATTTCGCTTAAAAAACAAGAAGCGGCGCACTTATTTCCAGAAAAAGAACTCTGGATCCCCTAAGGCCCAACGCTGTTACTTCTGTAAGCAGCCCGGTCATTTTGCTAAAAATTGTCCCAAGAAGCAGAAGCTTGCCCATCAGTTGATAGCAACTGACCTCACACTAGATCAACATGATCTTGAGTCCCTCTACTCAGAAACAGAGGAACCAACCTCAGCTACTATTTTTGCAGTTGATCTTTTCCCCACTCCTGATGATTCCTCATCCAGTGATTACTCCAGCGACAGTTCTTTCCAATTCGGATATTTTCCCATGAATTTATCCGTACATGTTCCTATGGTAGAACTCACCCTCTACCTCACTTCCAAATATGACCATCCAATCAAAGTGATGGCCTTATTTGACACTGGCGCCACGTCAACCATTCTCAATCCAGATGTGCTCCCTGAAGACTATTGGTCTCCACATATCAAATGGTTCACTGCAGCCAATGGTGAACATTTTTCCACCAACCTTATCAGTAAACCCATCCTCATCCAATTTTTCCCTAACCTTATCTTGACCCATCAATGTCTTGGCTCCCACCATCCGAAGAAAGATATGGTTATTGGATGGGATCTTCTTACCCAATTGCTCAAAGCCAAATTCAGTTTTACCCCTCAAGGCCTGAAACACAAATCCTATTTCCAACCCTACAAACAACCCAAGAATTACTTCACCACCTTACCCATTACCTCGGCCGCAAGCATTGACATTAAGGCCCAACTTATTTCTGACTGTGCTGCTGAGTCACATTCAGATTTCTTAACTAAGTGTTCCAACCCATTGTGGCTAAACCCTGATTTCTTTGTTAGTCTTCCTTTCAAAAAGAATGAAGACATCAATCCTACTAAAGCCACTCACCCGGGAATGACTCCTGAACACCTTGCTCTTGCCCAAGAAGAATTGGCTCAACTAGAGAAAGAAGGCCTCATTGAACCAACCCAATCCTCATGGGCTTGCCAAGCCTTCTATGTCAATAAACGAGCAGAACAAGTTCGCGGAAAACTCCGCCTTGTCATCAATTATAAACCCTTAAATTGGTTCTTAGCTGATATCAAGTTTCCTCTGCCTCGACAGAATTTTTTATTCAGCTATTTAACCAATGCTCATGTCTTTTCCAAGTTTGATCTTAAAGCTGGTTTTTGGCAACTTGGCCTCCATCCCACTGAAAGAGAAAAGACTGGCTTCTGCATACCCAATCTCCACTACCAGTGGACCGTTCTCCCCTTTGGTCTCAAAACAGCTCCCTCAATATTTCAGAAAGCCATGATCCGCATTTTTCAACCCATTTTAAAGCAAGCTCTCATCTACATTGATGATATTTTGCTTTATTCCCCTGACCACTCAAGCCATATGTCCCTGCTGCACCAGTTCTACACCATTCTCAAGAAATATGGTGTCATGCTTTCCAAGAAAAAGATGGTTCTCCAGACAACTTCCATTGACTTCCTTGGCATGCATATTGAAGACGGCCAATATCAACTCCAACCCCATATTGGCAAAGAATTACTGAAATTCCCAGACTCACATCTCACTTTCAACGAAACCCAACAGTTTCTTGGCATTGTCACTTACATGGCTCCATTTATCAAGAAACTTTCCCCTTTAGTCAGACCCCTCCAATTAATGATCCGAAAGAATCCTCCTCCCTGGGGTCCAGACCAAACCACTTCAGTTAAACGACTCAAAGAAATTGCCCAACAACTGCCCCCACTACAGATTCCCTCAACTGGCCAACGAATACTTCAGACAGATGCTAGTGATTCTCATTGGTCCGCCATTCTCCTTGAAGAAATTCATGGTGTTCGCAAAGTGTGTGGTTACAAAAGTGGACACTTCAAACCTAGTGAAGAACACTACCATTCCACATACAAGGAGATTCTCGCTGTCAGACGTGGTATCGAGAAATTTGAATACCACTTGATTGGTCATCATTTTCTCGTTGAAATGGACATGTCATCTTTTCCACGAATGCTCGAGTTCAAGCAAAAGGAAATTCCAGATGCCCAACGCCTTCGCTGGGCCCAATGGTTTTCTCGCTACCAGTTTACTGTCAAGCACATCAAAGGCAAACATAACACCCTTGCAGATTTCCTCTCTCGGCCCAAGATCGTTAAGCCCACATTAAACCTCAGCCCACAAAATAAAACCCAACCTATTCCTGTGTTATGCATGATGAATCCTTTTTCGGATCAACCACCCGAAATCCCAGCCTTACTTGAAGAAAACACTATAGACCAACATCTTCCCCATCTTACCTCACAGTACCAAATCCAAACAATTCATGCCACAGGCTTACAAACCCTTGGTGGATTACACTATCACCCAGATTACCCTTTCCTCACTCTTTTCCAAATATCAGACCCACATATGTTTACCACCCCTCTGTTGTATCTCCTTTGGTGCCTCCTATATAAACACATTTTTGCTTTTGAATTTCCCCTTCAAACTATGGTCTCCTATTTTCAGTCTTATACACCTCACCAACCTACCCCTGGATTTTCTGAGTTCCTGTTTCAGACTTTCCTCGAATGGTTTCACCCTCTTTCTTATTGGAAACACCTTTTCAATACAGAAAAATCCCTCTGCACCACCCCACATTTTCCCACAGCCCATGTGATCTTTACTTTCCAAAGAGACCATTACGTCACCACTGACCTCACCCATATTGGTACTCTTAAAAAGTATCGTCTCTATCCTTTTTCCCTCCACACAGACTGGTCCTTCCATCTGACAGAACTGAAACAATTTCAGACCCATATGTGTCACATAAATAAATATATTCCACCATCCCTTTGGCCTCGCCATAATCCTTCAGAACCACCTTGGGATACACTACCTCACGCTTACTGCCAAACTTTGATCACAGCTGTTCATCAACATGCAGACTCTCAAGCAGGATCTTCTTCAAGTGTTCGTCCAAAAGTCAAGGACACTGTTCCAGTCCTCCAATACACTCAGCTTATCAACCACCAACCTCCGCAAACACTTTACCCTTTGGAATACGACCCAAACCATGCTGTTACCATCCCTGGAATACAGACTGGAGATGAAGATCTTGATCTTGTTCTTAACAGCCCCGCCTACATACAGGCCCAAGCCCGCATGACCCAAGACTCTCAGAACCCATACTCTCCAGATCCACTCTGGTGGAAGACTCTTGGATACACTCACGACCCAATGGACTTTGAAGACAATGAAGACCCAAACAGGACGGACACCTCATCCTCTGAATGACGTCAGCCTGCTGATCTCACCTTCTCTCCAGATGAAGACACGTAGCCTCCACCGACTGTCGGCAACATCCTAGCCGTTTATTTTAATCTTTTGCCACTTGTATTTTGCTTTTATGCTGGCCACATCCTGGCCTTCCACTTGTTGTAATATTTGTAATCCCAATGTATTACGTGTGTGGTTTGTAATGATTCCCTTCTCCTATATAAGGAGACTCCCCTTCTCTCAGAAGGCAGAGAACACAAGGGAAACGCAATAATAAACACTTCTTTCTACAAATGTCTCTCTCTCTCTAAATTTCTTAATGCATTAGTTCTGTTAAAGATTTCTCTGGCCAGAAGCCCTCCGCCTTCACAGAAGTTTCTCGTCTTAACAGACACTCAGTTCGGCTCTGCCGCGGTTGTCTGTTAATACCTGAATATTTTTGTGATCCTGGATGCGGCGTTTTATGCTATTCACTCCACCGGATTTCCTGTTACGACAACTTACAACTGCTGAATAGCGGGTGTTTTCTGGAGCTGGCCTCCTTTTCAGAATCTAGAAGAGGCCGCGGCTCACCAGCCCGTTGTGGTTCACGTTTTTGTAGCAGCATCATCCTACTAAGGGTATATCGGCTGGAAACCAGTAACCGCCTTAAAAGCTGCCTGGCAGCACTTGGCGACCTCTGGTCTAACAACGCCACGTACCCCGACGCGCCTGCCGCATATTTGGTATCAGAGCCAAATGCCATCAAACCTATGAATAATTGTAGGTACAGTTATCATACTGCTTTCCTGTTACTTAAATGGTTTATTTGATGTTGGAAAGTTCTTGTCACAAGGACTGTGTGTCCAAGGCGGCTGGTATTTAAGATGGCCATGGTGCCGCACCAGACTACCTGGAGAATTTTCCTTCATTAGAATAACACTGTTTATGTAAATTGGAAACGTTACAGTGTGATACTGTTCTGTGCCCACGCCACAGATTAATATGGTCCAGTATACTTAATGCTCTGTGATTCGTTCTTATATGTCGCTTTCTATGCCAGAGAAAGATTTTCAGACTAGTGCATTATCATCTGCCATGAATATCCTTCCAAAACCTGCTTTATCTCGCACTTCATCTTCTTCTTCCCTAAATAGTCCTCGTCCTTCTTCAGCTGATTCTTCATCTTCTCTTATACATACCGACTATAAACATAAAGTAGAGTCGTTGTATGAACTATCATACATCCCAGAAGGTGATTCCACTCCGTTGGATAATCTTCTCATACCCTCTCCGTACAAAAAACCATCCCCACCCGTAGCTACCCGTATAAAAACTATCGTCAAGCCTCCCAGGTATCAAACCAAGGAGTATGTTCACAGTTCTAAGTTTAACCAGCATGGTATTCCCACGTCACATGCTGAGCAGTTTTTCCCATTGACTCTCATTGACTCTTCCCGCTGAGCTTATCTCTCAGTGGCTTCGAGAGGAGTTCACGCACATCCATTTTGGAGCAATCCGGTTGGCTCTTACCTTCCACGGACGTAAAGGTCTTCCCACTACCGCCCGTATTGCTCTACTGGATACTCGGTTCCCGTCCTACATCAGCGCCTGCATAGGCAGCATGGAAACAACTCTCAATGCTGGCACTGTAATGGCAACCTTCTACCCGAACTTAAACATGCTTTTGAATGATCAGGCACTCCCTGATTTTTTGAAAGTCCAAATACAGGTTGCAGGACAAATTCCCCAAGCTGGTGGCTATATGGCCACTCTCCACTATCAGATGGTCTAAAGGGTCCAGAATCATGCTTTTGACTTGGTACCACCTCGTCACCCTGATCTTCTGGATAAGGCTTTGTTCCTTAAAGTGGACAGCAACTGTGCTGCTAGTTGCACCTATGTACCACGACAAATACCTCAGCCCGAATTGTTGACTCTCATGCCTGAACGATGGCTTACAGCTTATGAAAAGCTGCATCCAACTGCTAAGACTAATCAGCCAGTGCAGACTACCACTTGCACTTTCCAGACACTTCCAGATGGCACCGTCGAAACTCGTTATGAACGGGAAACACCATCGACAGATACACCTCCGTGTTTCTCTACATCCTTTGCCATGACTCCTCTGGATGTCTCACCATCACAGCACCATGATCCTACTGTTGGCGTTCCTATCAATTATTTTAATTCAGAAGGTGCTCCTGTTTATGCCTTCTCTGATCCTTCTACTGGTCACAAATACTGGGATCTTTGCGACTGTGATGATTGTTTCTATGATTCCATCTATGATGAGAATCATTCACGTCGCCCAAAGAAGAAAAAGCCTCGTTCCTCGTGTAAGACTTTTAAAAGTCGATATGATAATGGTGATCCACATGTTGGCCCACTTGGCCAACCCTCAGGCAAGTATGATTATCTTGTCTCCTATAGTGCTCCTCCACCTACACCATATCCCACCAAACCAAGTGGATGGGATAATGATGATGATGATACGGACCTTAATCCTTACTATCGTAAGGCTCTTAAGTGCATCCCTGCTGAACAGCGTCAACCAATACAGACTTTTGAAGCTGCTCCTTGTGCCATGTATACAAGCAGCTCTGGTCCATCAGTATCAGCTTCAGCTCCAGCACCCGAAGATTTTCCACCACTCACTCCATTTACAACTAATAATTTTTCCCACCAATGGAAAATCAAGAATCCTACTACAGTGGACCCCACTGGAGCTCCAACCAAGCTTTCTCCTACTGAATCAGTTCTTAACTGGCAGTCCCAGAATGCTGTTGCTCAGAATTCCTGCCTACAGCGGATTGAATCTCAACTGTCTACCCGTTTACAGTCTCAAGAGGATAATCTCGCCAAATTACGAGCCCATATCAACTCTCTTCATAATGAGATTCTCTCTCTTATTCAGCACCGCCAAGATTTCTCTCAGCAGGAACAGGAGATCAAGTTCCTCAAAAACCAACTTGATTCTCTTGAGCAATCCCAACAGCCAGTTCGGCCTCGTTATGATTCAACTCTCAGTCCTTTATGGACTCCACCTTCTCAAGGCCAGTATTCCGTCTTCCCCAGACCACGAGTTACTCAACCATTACAGAGTACACCTTTGTTCACTACAGGCTCACCCAATATGTCTGTTTTCCGAAACAGACAGCCGGCTAGCCAGCAAACATGGTCCCCACGGACCTCACCACCTACTCAGCAAACACAAGTTCCACCAACTCCCACATATACTCCATCTCCACCGCCAAAACCACCAAAACCAGAACAACCAGGTCCCTCTTCTCCTGCACCACCAGGACCTCCTCCACCAAGCTTCATGATGTCTTCTTCTGGTTCAAATCCGATTACGGATTTCCTTACCCATCATACCACAGAAGACTTGACCCCTATACAGAATCTTCCTATCCAGTATGCCACCCTGGACGAATCTAGTTCCTCTGAAGAATCTGATGAAACCTCATCCACCGAATCAGATTCTCCAGTTATCTTCATGAACCAAGCTCACACTCCTAGGCCACCTCCGGCTCCTACTGAACCTATAGTGGAAGATCCACCTGACCCAATGGATACCACAGAGCCACCATACACCCCTTTTTATGGTCAACGACCCATATACAGAATCTTCCTATCCAGTATGCCACCCTGGACGAATCTAGTTCCTCTGAAGAATCTGATGAAACCTCATCCACCGAATCAGAGTCTCCAGTCATCTTCATGAACAAGCTCACACACCTCGACTCCTGGCTCCTACTGACCCTATAGTGGAAGATCCACTGACCCAAGGATACCGCAGGCCACCATACACCCCTTTTTATGGTCAACCGACCCCGTACATTCCACCCTCTTCAGGGCCTTGGTTTAATTTGGACCCTTTCTTGCGGAAGGGTTTCTATCTTTTGCACCCAAATATTGCTTATTCTGCTTAACGACGGAGTGTTTCTTCTTTTTTGTAGGACAATGACAGGAAGTGTCCTTGTGAGAGCACTTAAGAAGAAGATCAGGACGTTGGCATGATTTCAATGCGTTGACCAGTCTGATGGAACTGATTGATAAATTCCATTTGTTGCAAGGCCTTGAAGGGCTTGTCAACTAATTGGCCAAGATGACCAAAGTAATAGAAGCTAGTGTAAGCCCATGTGTCAAGGATCCGTTGTGCTCTTGAGAAAGAGATCAGGAATGAGCTTATAGGCCTGCTAGATTGGGGTCATCCAGACCACCAATTTATAAAGCGAAGAGATGCTCTTTTAAAGTGAAGTTGCAGATCCTTAGGATCAAGAGCAACAACTTAAGCTTGAAGAATTCACCGAAGTTGGTCAACTCGGTTTTGGGTTTCTCCAACAAATTCTTTAAGAGAAAACCAAAGTTCAAAGTTTGATATCAACGACCTGTTGTTGGCGATACGGGCCAAGGGCATTCCACCATTGCTTAAGTATGCCCATGATCGGGCTACAACAGCTTCTAAGACTCCAAGTAGGTGGCATGGGCTTATCAGCTCAGTTTCAGCCAAGTATAATCTCAGATTTTCATTCTCATTTGGAGGATGGGTTTCATCAAGATTAAACCAAGGCCCTGGAGGGTGGAATGTTTCCATCTATGATGAGAATCATTCTCGTCGCCCAAAGAAGAAAAAGCCTCGTTCCTCGTGTAAGACTTTTAAAAGTCGACATGATAATGGTGATCCACATGTTGGCCCACTTGGCCAACCCTCAGGCAAGTATGATTATCTTGTCTCCTATGGTGCTCCTCCACCTACACCATATCCCACCAAACCAAGTGGATGGGATATCGATGATGATATGGAACTTAATCCTTACTATCGTAAGGCTCTTAAGTGCATCCCTGCTGAACAGCGTCAACCCTTACAGACTTTTGAAGCTGCTCCTTGTGCTATGTATACAAGCAGCTCAGGTCCACCAGCATCAACTCCTGCTTCAGCTCCAGCACCCGAGGATTTTCCACCACTCACTCCATTTACCACTAATCATTCTTCCCACCAATGGAAAATCAAGAATCCTACTACAGTGGACCCCTCTGGAGCGCCAACTAAGCTTTCTCCGGCTGAATCAGTTCTTAACTGGCAATCTCAGAATGCTGTTGCTCAGAATTCCTGCCTACAGCGGATAGAATCTCAGTTGTCTACCCGCTTACAATCACAAGAAGATAATCTTGCCAGGTTGCGGGCCCATATCAATTCTCTTCATAATGAGATTCTCTCTCTTATTCGGAATCGACAAGATTTCTCTCAGCAGGAACAGGAGATCAAGTTCCTTAAAAACCAACTTGATTCCCTTGAGCAATCACAACAGCCAGTTCGGCCTCGTTATGATTCGACTCTTAGTCCTTTATGGACTCCACCTTCTCAAGGCCAGTATTCCGTCTTCCCCAGACCACGTGTTACTCAACCGTTACAGAGTACACCTTTGTTCACTACAGGCTCACCCAATATGTCTGTTTTCCGAAACAGACAATCAGCTCAACAGCAAACATGGTCCCCTCGGACCTCACCACCTACTCAACAAACACAGGTTCCACCAACTCCCACATATACTCCATCTCCACCGCCAAAACCACCAAAAACAGAACAACCAGGTCCCTCTTCTCCTGCACCACCAGGACCTCCTCCACCAAGCTTCATGATGTCTTCTTCTGGATCAAATCCGATTACGGATTTCCTTACCCATCATACCACAGAAGACTTGACCCCTATACANGATCAGAAAGAATCCTCCTCCCTGGGGTCCAGACCAAACCACTTCAGTAAAACGACTCAAAGAAATTGCCCAACAGCTGCCCCCACTACAAATTCCCTCAACTGGCCAACGAATACTTCAAACCGATGCTAGTGATTCCCACTGGTCCGCCATTCTCCTTGAAGAAAATAATGGTGTTCGCAAAGTATGTGGTTACAAAAGTGGACACTTCAAACCAAGTGAAGAACACTACCATTCCACATACAAGGAAATTCTCGCTGTCAGACGTGGTATCGAGAAATTTGAATACCACTTGATCGGTCATCATTTTCTCATTGAAATGGACATGTCATCTTTTCCACGAATGCTCGAGTTCAAGCAGAAAGAAATTCCTGATGCCCAACGTCTTCGCTGGGCCCAATGGTTTTCTCGCTACCAGTTTACTGTCAAGCACATCAAAGGCAAACATAACACCCTTGCAGATTTCCTATCCCGGCCCAAGCAAATCAAGCCCACTTTCCATCAAACCCAACCTATTCCTGTGCTTTGCATGATGAACCCTTTTTCAGATCAGCCTCCCGAAATCCCGGCCTTACTTGAAGAAAACACTATAGACCAACACCTTCCCCATCTTACCTCACAGTACCAAATCCAAACCATTCACGCCACTGGTCTACAAACCCTTGGTGGATTACACTATCACCCAGATTACCCTTTCCTCACTCTTTTCCACATATCAGACCCACACATGTTTACCACCCCTCTGTTGTATCTCCTTTGGTGTCTTCTATATAAACACATTTTAGCCTTTGAATTTCCCCTTCAACCTATGATCTCCTATTTTCAGTCATACAAACCTCACCAACCAAACCCTGGATTCCCTGACTTCCTGTTTCAGACTTTCCTCGAATGGTTCCACCCTCTCTCTTATTGGAAGCATCTTTTTACTACAGAGAAATCAGCCTATGTAATCTTTACCTTCCAACGCGATCATTATGTCACCACTGACCTCACTCACATTGGCACTATTAAGAAGTATCGTCTTCACACCTTCTCCCTCCACACAGACTGGTCCTTCCATCTTTCAGAGCTTAAACTCTTTCAGACTCATATGTGTCACCTAAACAAATATATCCCTCCATCGCTTTGGCCTCGCCATAATCCTTCAGAACCACCATGGGATACATTACCTCACCCTTACTGCCAAACTTTGATTACAGCTGTTCATCAACATGCAAACTCTCAAGCAGGATCTTCTTCAAATGTTCGTCCCAAAGTCAAGGATACTGTTCCAGTCCTCCAATACACTCAGCTTATCAACCACCAACCTCCACAAACGAATCATGCTGTTACCATCCCTGGAATTCAGACAGGAGATGAAGATCTTGATCTTGTTCTCAACAGCCCAGCCTACATCCAGGCCCAGGCCCGAATGATCCAAGACTCCCAGAACCCATACTCTCCAGATCCACTCTGGTGGAAGACTCTTGGATATACTCACGACCCAATGGACTCAGAAGACAATGAAGACCCAAACAGGACTGACACCTCATCCTCTGAATGACGTCATCCTGTTGATGTCATCCTCTCTCCAGAGGCAGACACGTAGTCTCCACCGACTGTCGGCAACATCCTAGCCGTTTATTTTAATCTTTTGCCACTTGTATTTTGCTTTTATGCTGGCCAAATCTTGGCCTTCCACTTGTTGTAATATTTGCAATCCCGATGTAATACGTGTATGGATTGTAATGCTTGTAGTTAGCCTCCCTTCTCCTATATAAGGAGACTCCCCTTCACTCAGAAGGCAGAGAACACAAGGGAAACGCAATAAACACTTCTTTCTACAAATGTCTCTCTCTCTCTAAATTTCTTAATGCATTAGTTCTGTTAAAGATTTCTCTGGCCGGAAGCCCTCCACCTTCACAGAAGTTTCTCGTCTTAACAGACACTCAGTTCGGCTCTGCCGCGGTTGTCTGTTAATACCTGAATATTTTTGTGATCCTGGATGCGGCGTTTTATGCTATTCACTCCACCGGATTTCCTGTTACGACAACTTACGACTGCTGAATAGCGGGTGTTTTCTGGAGCTGGCCTCCTTTTCAGAATCTAGAAGAGGCCGCGGCTCACCAGCCCGTTGTGGTTCACGTTTTTGTAGCAGCATCATCCTACTAAGGGTATATCGGCTGGAAACCAGTAACCGCCTTAAAAGCTGCCTGGCAGCACTTGGCGACCTCTGGTCTAACAACGCCACGTACCCCGACGCGCCCTGCCGCATATTTTTTTAGAGTAACCAAGGCTGCACAAATGGTCATTTATTCGGCTGTACCAGGCTCTAAGAGCCTGCTTCAAGCCATACAAGGCTTTCTTTAGCAAATACACATGATCTCTTAACCTTGTACCCTTCTGGTTGCTCCACAAAAATCTCCTCTGAAATCCACCCATTCAAGAATGCTGATTTAACATCTAGCTAGAAAATTTTCCAATTAAACTGAGCTGCAAGTGCCAACAGCAGCCTGATTGTGTCTTGCCTAGCTGCCAGGGCAAATATCTCTGAAAAATCAATACCTGGTTGCTGTGCAAAGCCCTTCACCACTAGCCTTGCTTTATGCTTGTAGATTGAGCCATTAGGATTTATTTTCAGTTTGAAGATCCATTTCACCTGAATTACTTTCCTTTTTTCAGGTCTTGGTACCAATTTCCAGGTTTGATTTTTATCAATCATGCTGAGTTTCTCCTGCATTGCAGCCCTCCGCAATTCAGATTTTGCAGCTTCAAGACAACATCTTGGTTCCACCACTGCCGTATTACACCTTTCATATACATAAGCCAATGATCTTGTCCCTCTAACAGCATGTTCTTCTTCCTCATCTGAATCAGCCTCTCATTTATCTCTTCTTGTCTTGATTCAGCCTGCACATCAACTCTCTTTTCTTCCCAGTTCCATACTCCACCTTCATCAACCTTTATGTCTCTTGTGATTATAATCTTCCTAGACTCAGGAATATAAACTCTATATGCTTTAGAGTTGCTGCTATAGCCTACAAGTATCCCAATTTTAGCCTTATCATCCAATTTGGATCTTTTGCTTGCTGGGATCATTACATAGGCTATACTTCCAAATACTTTCAAGCTTCCCACTGCTAGTTTGATTCCACTCCATGCCTCAATTGGTGTTTGATGTTTGACTGCCTTGGTGGGCAACCTATTTAGGAGAAAAACTGTTGTATTAACAGCTTTAGCCCAGAACACTTTAGGAAGATTTTTTCCAGCCATCATGCACCTAGCCATTTCCATAATGGTTTGGTTTCTCCTTTCACAAACACCATTCTGCTGAGGGGTGTATGGTGCTGTGAACTGCTGCTGAATTCCAGCTTCACTGCAAATTTTGCTGAATTCATTTGAGGTGTACTCTGTCCCGTTGTCACTTCTTATGGTTTTGATCAAGGTTCCAGCTTCATTCTCCACCAGCAACTTGAATTTCTTAAACACAGCAGCCACTTCATTTTTCTGCTTAAGAAAATACACCCAAGCCACCCTTGAGTAGTCATCAATGAAGAGTACAAAGTACCCGCTGCCATTTAAAGATTCAGACTTCATAGGACCACACACATCTGTGTGGATCAATTGCAACTTATGACTTGCTCTTCAGGCTTGATCCGAAGGAAATGAAGGCCTGCTAAGTTTGCCAAGTTGGCAGGCTATACATAAGAACTTTTTCTCTTCTATTTCAGGTAGCTCCAGCACCATTTCTCTTGCCTTAAGTTCTTTGATTCCCAAGTAATGAAAGTGGCCAAACCTTTTATGCCACAAGTTAGACTCATCAACCCTGCTAATTAGTGCTAAGTTTCCTGGTTTTTTCCACTCTACCAGGAAGCTTTTTCCTAACATCCTAACACTCATCAATTCATTTCCCTCACAATCCATTATTACACAAGCATGATTTTGAAAATGTAAGGTGTAGTTTTTCTCTAACATTTGACCTACACTTAACAGGTTTTGTGCAATTTCAGGAACAAATAAAACACTTGAAATGATCTTGGTACCCGCTTGAGTTTGGACAGTCACATCTCCAATAGCTTTTGCCTCAACATACTCACCATTTCCCACCTTGACCTTGGAGCTGTATGTTTTGTCTGTCCTAACAAAATTCTCCAGTTTTGCTGCATGTGGTTAGTATAACCACTTTCTATTAGCCAAACATCACTGGTGGTCTGCATGGAGTAGCATGAAGCTACAAACAGCTGCTCGGGTTCACTGCTCTGCTGCTGGTCTTCTACACTTTGTGCTTGCTGTGCACTTTTGTTCTTGCACACTTTTTCAATGTGCCCGAACTGTTTGCACCTCCTGCATTGGATCCCAGGTCTAAACCAGCACTTACTGTCTGGATGTCCCTTCTTTTTGCAGTGGGAACATGGTGGATAATTCCTTCCTCCACTCGGTTTTCCCCCCTGTCCATCAGTTCTCTCTTTTCCTCTCTTATCTCCAGCATATTTCCTATTTCTTCCCTTCACATTCAATCCTTTTTGAGCAGCCATCATAGCACCTTCATTGGAGTCCTCTTGCGTCATCAACCTTCTTTGTTCTTGGGCCTGCAGTGCATGAACCAATTTAGTAAGACTGATTTGGGAGAGGTCCTTCGAATCTTCTAAGGAAGATATCTTGGACTCAAATCTTTCCGGTAGGCTGACTAACACTTTCTCAACTATCATCTTGTCACTCATCTCAACTCCCAACAATCTAATCTTGTTCATTACACTCATAAGCCTATCTACATACTCTTTAACCTTCTCTACCTCCTGCATTCTTAGCATTTCGAACTCTCTTCGCAGGTTCATAACTTGCATATTTCGGGTTGTATCACTTCCCATGAACTCCTCCCTCAATCTATCCCAAGCTTCTTTTGTAGTTTCACACACCATTATCCTTGTAAATACAAGATCTGTTACTGTAGAGTGTATGTGAGAAAGAGCTCTTGGAGCTTTGGACATCTCCTCCTCATACATCCTCATTTGATTCAAAGTTGGGTTTGGACCAAGCTGCGGTTGCTGTTTCTCCTCTTCCACATACAGCCACAGCCCTTGCCCTCTTAGGTAGGCTCTCATTCTAATAGCCCAAATGTGATACTGGTCCCAATTGAACACTGGAGGTGAGAGAGAAGCCGATTGAGTTGCCATGCGAAACCAGGTTGGAGTTTTTCTGGAAAGTGTTGTTCTTGCGGAAGGTTGAAGTTTGATGGTGATTCAGGAAGTTTTTTTTGAGTGAGTTTGTTAGTTGCTGGTTTGTTGATGTAGCTCTGATACCATGTTAGTGTCTAAGCTAATGCTGGATGTATCAAAGAAAAAGAGAACAGAAGAGAACTAATACAAATTCATTAACCAACAAAAACCTGCATATAACATGCTTTGGCTTACTGTTACAACCACTGTTAGTAACTTTTACATAATCTCAGCTAATCCACACACATCTAACAACCACCTTACAAAATTAGCTTAGTCATCAAATTCAAAATTAACGCTTAAGTTTACAATAAGGCTTAAACTACTAAACTCAGAAACAGCACCATTCACGTCACCTGTACAGCAGCAAAATAGATTCAAACTTTCAATTTCAGCAAACCATACTTCCAGCACAGCATCAACCTTCAACAGATAGAAGGTTATGTTTCCTTGACGTGGTAAAGATTACCAATAACTTTGAGAGAGTTCTTGGAAATGGAGGATTTGGAACAATTTACCATGGTTACTTAGACGAAACTCAAGTAGCTGTAAAGATGCTTTCTCCATCATCAGCTCAAGGATATAAGGAGTTTCAAGCCGAGGTATAATGTAAATGAAGCAATTAACTTGTGCAGGATTTATATGCTGTTTCATGTTTATGTGAGGATATATTTTTTTTCTTGACAGGTTGAACTTCTTATGAGAGTTCATCACGCGAACTTAATGGCTCTTGTTGGATACTATGATGAGGACACAAACTTGGGGCTAATGTATGAGTTCATAGCTAATGGAAACTTAGAAGCACATCTCTTAGGTTTGCGTATCCCCATTTATTTTTTGCTATGTAAACATCTGCAAGTGCAATTTTTTGCAGATTAAAGACTTATACTTGTCATGGATATGCAGAAAACCGAGCGGGTATCTTGAGTTGGGAAGGGAGACTTCGAATAACAATAGATGCTACAAAAGGTAAGTAAGAATATGATCTGAATTTCACATCTTGTTTTTCAGTTTGTTTATATTTTTTGTTTCTCTTCTATGATTTGAAATGATCAATAAGTCTATGCTCTGAATAGGATTGGAGTATCTCCATAGTGGCTGCAAGCCACCCATCGTTCATAGAGATGTGAAATCTGCAAATATCTTATTGAATGAAAATTTCCAAGTGAAAATAGCTGATTTTGGTCTCTCCAGAAGTTTTCCAAATGAGGGTGGAACTCATGTGTCAACAAAGATTGCTAGAACCCCAGGATTTCTTGACCCCGAATATGTAGAACCGGATTATTAATGTTATACATATCCTTTTGTGATTAAAAAGATTCAATAAACCTTTGAGGCTTAATTATTGCATTTGAGAAAATTTGTTCCGTAATCTATTCAAAATTTGCTTAGACTGAGTCATCAATTTTTGTCCTGCAGTACCTTGTAACAAATAGGTTAACCAAAAAAAGTGATATGTGTACGTAGTTTTAGAGTAGTTTTGCTAGAGATAATCTGAAAACAGTAGCCAGGGGATTCATATAAGCAAACGAGTGCTTTTAATGGTTGCGAACGTGGATATTAGAAACAATGTTGATCCAAGAATATAAGGAGATTTTGATGTCAATTCTGCCTAGAAAGCTGTAGAAATAGCTATGATTTGTGTTTCTTCATCTTCCAATAGAACGCCAACCATGAATCAGGTAGTGACAGAACTGAATGAATGTTTAGCAATTGAGATGGCTCATAGGAAGGAAGCTCTGTGACCGAATCAAGAGATCCTACTGGAATGGTCAATTTAGATCTACATACTGGATTATCACTCCTTGCAAGGTAGTAAAACTTAACAACCTATTTGTTCCTTCAGTTTATATATACGTCTTCGCATGTCTGGTTTTACACTTCTTCAACTTCATCAATTATTGTGTATCTCAATGAATACTAAAAAGGAAAGCAGCTATGCTTCTACTTAAGTTAGTGTACATTTTCTGGATAAAAAATTGAATTGGCGTGTTAGACTTGGTATTTTTTCTGTCTGTATGTCAAGGAATCATTTCCTGATCACCTATTGTAAGATCAGTATACAGCTAATAGCGTAGAAAAGAAATGAAGAAAGTATTGACATGGCTACGGATTTGGAAATTAATTAGAATAATGCATGTGGATTAAAATGTTGGTGCAAGTGATTCTTAGATATAGCTTGATCTTTCCAAAATTTAACCACTTCAAAAACTTAAAAATATAAAACTATGGACAGAAGACAAGTTTCATACACAACCTTATCAGTTCGGTTTAAGGTTACATATAAAATTATAGAGACACGCTACACGATTAGCTCTTCTGCGTTCAGGATATTATTAAATTACATTTACATGTGCAATAAGAGAATCAAGTCATAATTTACCCATTAGTCTCCAATTTGCTACATAATAACCAGTTCTTGAGAAAAAAAAAATTTCAGAATTACATTGGATGGTTTTGCTCCTGTGTTATCAGAAGAAATCTAACCATTGCAATTGAAAACTATTAGAGTAGGTGCCCTAGAGCCAATCAATTATTGTAGAATTGACTCTTTGTAATAATGCTTATTGATCAATAAAAGGCATTTTATTCTCTATAGTATAAATCATATTGTATGTATTGATATATGTCCTTAGGATGGTAAAACCGTGACGAGGGTATCAAGTGTTTCAAATCTTGATAGTGAGAACCCCATGATCACATATAGTGGTCGTTCTAGAAATGTCTGTAGCCCTAGTATTATTCTGACGAAGGACACCGATAATACGGTAAGGCTAACATAATGTTGAACGACCTTGTCGAAAGGCAGTGACTGATCTCACTTGTCAAGGTTGTTTGCCGACAACCTGGTGCAACACATGGGTGTTTGCTGTAGGCAAGTTTACTGGACTGACCCAACAAAGGATTCCATAGAGATGGTAACCCTAGTGTCTCTAGAACAAATCCACTAACGAATGGTGGTGCATGTGATACTTAGACCTGAGATCACTAGAGCATCTTGTGCACCAATTGGTGTAGTTTGACACTAGCCCAATGCAGTTCTATTTAGAGTTGTCAATATGGTAGTGATTGGCTGCATCAAGGAGTGTATTAAGACTATGGTGTTTCAATAGAGGATTCATCACTCCCAAGTACGGGAGAAGTTATCTCGCTGTGCAATTCAGTAAATGACAATGACACTAAAGTTGTGGCCACAGTGGGATTGAGTTGCTGCTCAATCTAATTTATTATTTCGGTCATTGGTCTAGTAACTGAATACAAAACATATCGAGAGTAACCGAGGTTGACACTATTTCTGTACCTCGGTCTCGATGAGATAACAGATGATGAAAGGATTTGATTGCACAAAAACCATATCGTTGATAGGTAACTATTTCGTTGAATCCAAATCTATCGAGTGGCCATAGTGCCTTGCTATGGGTCAATCTTGGTCTGTGTGTAGTGAGACGATTAATTGGTGTTAATCGCGATATTACTCACTGCCAGTATGATGAGGAGTCTACGGGTCACACACAGAAGATAATTTGATAATCAGTTTGTGCAAGGGATAATTTCGTCTTTTGGGATAAAAAAGTATTTTGGTAATCTCAAAGTGCAATTAGATTTGCTGAGATTGTTGCCTGGATTTAATATTAAATCAAGTAAGTGAGATTATATTTAAATATATGTACGCATATATTTAAATAAATTGTTATTATTATTAAATGTTAATATATTTTATAAATATATTGATTGATTTTAATTACAATAATAATAATTAAAATAAAATACAAATTGAGAGTGTTTGGACACAAGGGCTAATTTGGGTTGGAGCTCAATCCTATTCCTAAGAGGATTAGGGTTTTCACACGTGCACTATATAAGTGCATATTTGTTGAGAGAAAATAATATATAATTCATTATTATTCAATCATTGAAAAAAAAAAAGGGCAGCCCTCTCTCCCTTTTACTCTCTCACGTCACCCTTGGTACTTGAAGCCAAAGAAGATCTAGCAAATCCCTCTTTGGTTCTTTGGATTGTCTCCTTCTAGATCACCGTTCGGTCCATTCTATTTTGAATCGGTAGCGAATCCAAATCAGAGACAAAGTTAAAGAGCCTCTAAACGTGCGTAAGATCTGTGATTCTTGTGTGAATTATTTATATTTTCAATAGCATTTTTTATTTAACACAATAACTATATAATCTGTACTCTGATTTTAGGTTTTAAAGGAATCAATTTATTCTTTATTTTAGTTTTTCCGCTGCCTTGGGTAGATCAATTCCTAACAAAAACTATCAGAAATGGTAAAATCTCAACACAACTTGCTTTTGCTGAGTTGGTTGGTTACTCCTACATGCAAAAAATTGGTTGAATGATGAAATGCAAGTGTGCTTGCATAGATCAATTCTCCTAACAGAATTGTTTACTCTCCGTCCCAACAATAAGCTGAAAAGACTCATAAAGGTCAAGAGCACATTGTGTTGCACAAAAAGTTTGGCTTTTTGTCCTTGACATGCCCAAAGTAAGAGGTTTCTTGAACTGCATCACATCGATGTCTCTAACTCTATAACTTCCATGAGTCGGTTTGTCGCCTTATGCAGGAACAGAATATAAAGAACTATTTGTGAATAATTTCAACCTCTACAATACCATACAATGATGCTGGACAATGTTATTTAAAAACATTTCAATTTGAAATATTCAATCTTATAAACAGAAGATAACAATAAAAAATTATTGTAATGTTCAGGCTTTTAAGAATTGATCACATTTTCCGTTTACTTTAACAAGTTCAGATATGGAAAAATTTTGTTACAATCTCAAGAAAATAATTTTCTATTAAGCCACTATTGTTCCAAGTATTATCAATAATGATCTTTTGCCTACAACTTGTAGTTGATGAGGTATCAGATTAGGTACTCAACTTTAAAATATACATATTATTTGGTAGTAAAAAAATCTGATACTTAAATTTCCCATTTTATAGAAACCTTGATGAAGTCTTTTTCAAGAGTCTCCTTCACAGATTATGTAGGAAATTTACTTTCCTTTCTTTTAGGTTAAGGTCATTGTTTAACTCAGTCACATTAATTTATTTTACAAATATATTTGCAATTGAAATTTCGCAAGCACATCATAATGAAAACACATGATAGGAACATTTCAGTAAAAATAATATGATGATATCCGGATGCAATCGTGCCTATTCAATTCTTTTTCTCATTGAAGTCTTTCTCAAGATTTTCCAATCAGATCAGGCCGGCAATGAACTTTCTGCCTGGTGCAGCTGTAGTTAAAATTTATAGGCTAAGGTCAATATCTAACATGCTCGAATTAATTTAAAATTACAATTGGAAGTTGAAGATTCTACAAGTGATGCTTCGTAATATTTTCCAATTATAGTAACATTTAAGATAAATAATATACTCATCTCCTCACTGAAAACTGATTCAGTTTTATCCTAACCAAGAAACGAAAATGTTTTTGGGGATTCTAAAGCATTTGATCTTTGCATTACTTGACATTGATAATCCGTAAATTATACAGTTTTTATTTGATCTTTTTGTCGGATTTCAGGTACTTTCTAGTGCATTTTTACCTGAATTGGTGCTTAATTCTTTACTTTTCGTGTTTCAGGTTAAAATGGACTTTTTGAGCAAATAAAGACAAAATTGGATAGTTTTGACTCCGAAATTAGCGGATCACAGAAGATAGGAGAGTTCCAGAGCAGGACAAAGCACGATGAAGCTTGTTCCCAAGGAAGAGAGCCGAGAATCGAAGAATCGAACGAAGAAGCAAGCAGAGTGGCAGTTCTGTAAATTTCAGAACTTTTGAAGGAGCTTCGCCCCGGCGAAGAAATTGTCTTCGCCGCGGCGAAGTAAGCCAAAGATGATTTGGGATTTCTTCATTCTTCGCCGCGGCGACAGTCAACTTATTCAGTTTTGTAAACGCACAGTTTCGTGTTGTGCGTGTTTTTGGCTGGGTTTTTGGACTAAGTATAAAAGAAAAACTTAACCTTTTGCCAAGGGGATCTTTAGCTTTTTAGGTTTAGCCGTTTTTACACTTTTCTTAGAGTAAAGCTTTGAGTTTTTCGGATTTTTAAGGGTGAAGATTCAGATTTTGACTAGAAGATTCATCTTTTAGGGAGATTTCTTATCTTTCATCTCAGTTTCATTATGTTTAACTTGTTTATTTCTGTTTTTCATTTTTGTAGTGTTAATTTAGCTATGAACTAATCTTTTATGGGTTAGGGTTTTGATTGTAGTTTGGATTTTAAATGGGTTAAGTATTTGATTGTGTTATTTCCATGTGAATAAGCTTTGGTTGTGTGTTACTCTGAAATTAAATGCTGTATGTGATGAACATGATGAGATTGAGAAATAATTCATGTTAGGCTTCTTGGGTAATCACCATTATAGTATTGGATGCTAGAGATAGATTCAAGAATTAATGAAATCAATTTAGGATTCTTGTGCTTAATGAATTCATAATTATTAACCTTCAATTTGTTGGGTGCGGAATGTTAATAAGGATGAATAGGAAAACATAGCCCGAGAGGGTATGTTTAACACATTAGTGAATTCGATTTACAACCATTGCGCATGAATGTGAATATAGTGTAATTTTAGGTTTAACCCACAAAAATCCAAACGAAGTCAAAACCCTACCCGTTTTGCTTAAATTGATATTCTGTGTTTCATCTTGCTTTCTTAATTAAGATTTAATTCTTTATTTAAATTTCATTGTTGTTTTTCATTACAATTTGCTCCCACCAATCCAAAGAATTCGATTGCTTCAACTTGATAACGTTAGGAAACTTAGTGCTTTGCTAACAGTCCTCGTGGGAACGATATCCTACCCATCACTTTATTACTTGAGCGACTAGTGCACTTGCCAGTTTTGCATGTTGTAAGAAACACGCATCAGGCATATTAGCCACAACATCAGTTCTGATTCATGCACAAAATCAAACAGGTTTCAAGAACTCCATCTTTTTTACTCATAGTTATTCATTATGTAAAATGAGTCCCTCTGCTAATTTCTCTTTATTTGTCTCGGTCTCTCAGGTTTTATTAGTATAGTTGTGGAATACCAGAAAATTCACCCTACACTGATAAGGTAACAGGCATAAATTACATTTCGGATGCAGCCATTATAGACACTGGTGAAACCCACAGCATATCATCGGAATACAGGAGTAACACCCTGGAACAACAGTTCTTGAATGTTAGAAGCTTCCCTGGAGGATCAAGAAATTGTTACACCCTAAAACCTGGAGGTCATGACCATTCTAAGTTTTTTGTCTGAGTGAGATTCATGTATGGAAATTATGATGGCCAAAGTATCCTGCCAAGTTTTAATCTATTTCTTGAATCCGATGTATGAGGTTCAGTGGAATTCAAAGACACCTCTACAACCGTTACTAAGGATATCATCCATATCCCTCAGAACAATTATATATGTGTTCGTCTTCTAAACACGAGTTTTGGAACACCTTCATTTCAGCATTAGAGGTAAGGCCATTGATAAATT